TGTATGTCGTGCCGAATATGTAAAACGGGTTTCAATTAGCAAGAACTCATTTAAAATTAAGTCCTTTCCAAAATTCCTCTTGTACGTTTAAAGATATTTTTTTTCATTAATGTTAATGTAATTTTTTTATTTTGCACCAAAAGAATCTTAGAAAACTTACCTAACCTTATTATAACAAGAACAATTTATTTTAGCCAAACCCCCAACAAAATATATTTAGATTTGTTTTACAATAATTTATACTAACAAACACAATGAATACATTTTTTTCGTTAGGTTCAGAATGATTTGGCGAAATTATTGCATACACAAATTTTCACTTGTCCTATATGGCAAGATGAACGTTGCTATTTAACCCAAAAGATCGCAAGTTCTGCCTGTTCGGCACGATATATATATATATATATTTTATAATATTTATATATATATATATATATATATATATATATATATATATATATATATATATATATATATATATATATATATATATAAAATATATAGGTGGGTAGTAGGTTGGTAGACAGCAACCACCCGGGGAAAGTACTACCGTCCTGCCAATGACTGTGAAACAGAAACCTGTAACTGTTTTGCATGATGGTAGGATTGCTGTGTCTTTTTCTGTCTCCTAAACACCTGGATAACAGGGATATCTTGCTACTCCAACTTCATTTTGGTCACACTTCACAGACATGCACAGCATATATATATACATACATCTGGGTTTTTTTCTCCTTTTTCTACATAGCTCTTGTTCTTCTTTATTTTTTCTATTGTCCAGGGGGAAAAGTGGAAAAGAATCTTTTTTCCGTAAGCCATGCGTGTCGTATGAGGCGACTAAAATGCCGGGAGCAATGGGCTAGTAACCCCTTCTCCTGTAGACATTTACTAAAAAAAGAGAGAAGAAAAATTTTAAATAAAACTGGGATGCTTGAATGTGCGGGGGTTAGTGCAGATGACAAGAAAACAAGATGATTGCTGATGTTATAAATGAAAAAGTTGGATGCCCTGGCCCTAAGCGAAACAAAGCTAAAAGGGGGTAGGGGATTTTCGGTGGGGGAAATAAAAAGGGATTAAATCTGGAGTATCTGAGAGAGTTAGAGCAAAGGAAGGGGTAGCAGTAATGTTGAATGATCAGTTATGGAAGGAGAAAAGAGAATATGAATGTGTAAATGCAAGAATTATGTGGATTAAAGTAAAGGCTGGATGCGAGAAGTGGGTCATAATAAGCGTGTATGCACTGAGAAGAGAGGAATGCAGAGGAAAAGGGGAGAGATTTTGGGAGATGTAAGTGAATGTATAGGAGCCTTTGAACCAAGTGAGAGAGTAATTGTGGTAGGGGACCTGAATGCTAAAGTAGGAAAAAACTTTTAGAGAGGGTGTTGTAGGTAAGTTTGGGGTGCCAGGTGTAAATGATAATGGGAGCCCTTGATTGAACTTTGTATAGAAAGGGGGTTTTGTTATAAGTAATACATATTTTAAGAAAAAGAGGATAAATAAGTATACAAGATATGATGTAGGGCGAAAGGGCAGTAGTTTGTTGGATTATGTATTGGTAGATAAAAGACTGTTGAGTAGACTTAAGGATGTACATGTTTATAGACAACCACAGATATATCAGATCATTTTCTAGTTGTAGCTACACTGAGAGTAAAAGGTAGATGGGATACAAGGAGAATAGAAGCATCAGGGAAGAGAAGGTGAAGGTTTATAAACTAAAAGAGAGGCAGTTAGGGAAAGATATAAACAGCTATTGGAGGATAGATGGGTAATGAGAGCATAGGGAATGGGGTCGAAGAGGTATGGGGTAGGTTTAAAAATGTATGTTAGAGTGTTCAGCGAAGTTTGTGGTTACAGGAAAGTGGGTGCGGGAGGGAAGAGGAGTGATTGGTGGAATGATGATGTAAAAAGATAGTAAGGGAGAAAAAGTTAGCATATGAGAAGTTTTTACAAAGTAGAAGTGATCAAGGAGGGAAGAGTATATGGAGAAAAAGAGAGAGGTTAAAAGAGTGGTGAAGCAATGTAAAAGAGAGCAAATGAGAGAGTGGGTGAGATGTTTCCAACAAATTTTATTGAAAATAAGAAAAAATTTTGGATGAGATTAACAAGTTAAGGAAGCCTAGAGAACAAATGGATTTGTCAGTTAAAAATAGGAGAGGAGAGTTATTAAATGGAGAGTTAGAGGTATTGGGAAAAATGGAGGGAATATTTTGAGGAATTGTTAATTTGATGAAGATAGGGAAGCTGTGATTTCGTGTATAGGGCAAGGAGGAAATAACATCTTGTAGGAGGGGAAGAGCCAGTTGTGAGTGTGGGGGAAGTTCGTGAGGCAGTAGGTAAAAAGAAAGGGGGTAAGCAGCCGGGATTGATGGGGTAAAGATAGAAATGTTAAAAGCCGGTGGGGATATAGTTTTGGAGTGGTTGGTGCAATTATTTAATAAAAAGTATGGAAGAGGGTAAGGTACCTAGGGATTGGCAGAGAGCATGCATATTTCCTTTGTATAAAGGCAAAGGGGACAAAAGAGAGTGCAAAAAATTATAGGGGATAAGTCTGTTGAGTATACCTGGTAAAGTGTATAGGTAGAGTTATTATTGAAAGAATTAAAAGTAAGACTGAGAATAGGATAGCAGATGAACAAGGAGGCTTTAGGAAAGGTAGGGGGTGTGTGGACCAGGTGTTTAAAGTGAAACATATAAGTGAACAGTATTTAGATAAGGCTAAAGAGGTCTTTGTGGCATTTATGGATTTGGAAAAGGCGTATGACAGGTGGATAGGGGGGCAATGTGGCAGATGTTGCAGGTGTATGGTGTAGGAGGTAGGTTACTGAAAGCAGTGAAGAGTTTTTTACGAGGATAGTGAGGCTCAAGTAGAGTACATAGGAAAGAGGGAAATTATTTCCCAGTAAAAGTAGCCTTAGACAGGGATGTGTGATGTCGCCGTGGTTTGTTTAATATATTATAGATGGGGTTGTAAGAGAAGTAAATGCGAGGTCTTGACAAGAGGCGTGGAGTTAAAAGATAAAGAATCAAAACATAAAGTGGAGTTGTCACAGTTGCTCTTTGCTGATGACACTGTGCTCTTGGGAGATCTGAAGAGAAGTTGCAGAGATTGGTGGATGAATTTGGTAGGTGTGCAAAAGAAGAAAATTAAAAGTGAAAACAGGAAAGAGTAAGGTTATGAGGATAACAAAAATATTAGGTGATGAAAGATTGGATATCAGATTGGAGGGAGAGAGTATGGAGGAAGTGAATGTATTCAGATATTTGGAGTGGACGTGTCAGCAGATGGGTCTATGAAGGATGAGGTGAATCATAGAATTGATGAGGGAAAAGGGTGAGTGGTGCACTTAGAAGTCTGTGGAGACAAAGAACTTTGTCCTTGGAGGCAAAGAGGGAATGTATGAGAGTATAGTTTTACCAACACTCTTATATGGGTGTGAAGCATGGGTGATGAATGTTGCAGCGAGGAGAAGGCTGGAGGCAGTGGAGATGTCATGTCTGAGGGCAATGTGTGGTGTGAATATAATGCAGAGAATTCGTAGTTTGGAAGTTAGGAGGAGGTGCGGGATTACCAAAACTGTTGTCCAGAGGGCTGAGGAAGGGTTGTTGAGGTGGTTCGGACATGTAGAGAGAATGGAGCGAAACAGAATGACTTCAAGAGTGTATCAGTCTGTAGTGGAAGGAAGGCGGGGTAGGGGTCGGCCTAGGAAAGGTTGGAGGAGGGGGTAAAGGAGGTTTTGTGTGCGAGGGGCTTGGACTTCCAGCAGGCGTGCGTGAGCGTGTTTGATAGGAGTGAATGGAGACGAATGGTTTTTAATACTTGACGTGCTGTTGGAGTGTGAGCAAAGTAACATTTATGAAGGGGTTCAGGGAAACCGGCAGGCCGGACTTGAGTCCTGGAGATGGGAAGTACAGTGCCTGCACTCTGAAGGAGGGGTGTTAATGTTGCAGTTTAAAAACTGTAGTGTAAAGCACCCTCTGGCAAGACAGTGATGGAGTGAATGATGGTGAAAGTTTTTCTTTTTCGGGCCACCCTGCCTTGGTGGGAATCGGCCAGTGTGATAATAAATAAATATATATATATATATATATATATATATATATATATATATATATATATATATATATATATATATATATATATATATATATATATAGATATATATATATATATATATATATATATATATATATATATATATATATATATATATATATATATATATATATATATATATAGTGCCGAATAAGCCAAACCGGCGAGTTAGAGCATGCCTAAAAAACAAGTCTTTTCTGCCGAATAAACAGAGTGAATTTTTTTTTTATAAATCTGCTAAAATCGATCTGAAGATAACGAAAAACTATACTGTATATCATTGATTTTAAGTAATGTTCAATCAATTTAAACTGACCTGTGATATATTATGGCATAATTATATTAGGTTAGGCGAGGCTTCTAAGAGAAGAAACGGGAAGGGAAGGTAATCAAGTTTGAGCCAAAGAAGGGAAAACTATCTCCGGCAGACGATGCAACATCCCCCCAATGAAAAGCAGGGGTGTCACTAGCACGTTAAGAGACCATACAATAAGTGTCAGGGGCCCGAGACTGTTCAACTGCCTCCCAGCATACATAAGGGGGATTACCATCAGACCCCTGGCAGTCTTCAAGATGGCACTGGACAAGCACCTAAAGTCGGTTCCTGACCAGCCGGGCTGTGGCTCGTACGTTGGTTTGCGTGCAGCCATCAGCAACAGCCTGGTCGATCAGGCTCTGATCCACCAGGAGGCCTGGTCACAGACCGGGCTGCGGGGGCGTTGACCCCTGGAACTCTCTCCAGGTAAACTCCAGGTCCCTAACCGGCATCAAGGCACAGCCCCTCTTTCCTTCCTTCTTGAAGGGACTGTAACGTTATATGCTGTGATAGTCTACTTCCGTAGACGGTCGGTCGCACAATGTAACACTATACTGCATAGTGTGACAACCTCCTCTTCTTTTTCAGGTGGAGTATGAGAATTGTGGGCAAAACAACAGGGACGAGTGTTTTGCTTACACCTTCGGTAGGACCGTGTACGATGATGAGGCACTGATTGCTGGCAGACTTAGTCGCAACCCGTCAGTGCGAAGGGCCAATTCTGGCGACGCTGACGAGGCTCCTTGCCGGAGGTTTAGGGCCTTACCCTCCGTGGCAGCAGACGACCCGTTTCAAACAGACAAGTCCCCAGACGTCTTTGTACCTACAAAACGAACCATTTTTACAGTGCACGGTGGAGTCCGTAACCCTGAGCAGGCTCGTGCAACTCCCACTTTCGTAGATAGTCAAGATGATGATCAGGATGTTGGCATGGCTCCTTGGCGCAGGAGTCACAGCCAACCCACCTCTCCAAGTGAGAATAACAGCACTCCATCTACCCCAGTGCAAAAGAGAAGAGACAGTTCCAAAGATGCTAGCGGCCATCATAGCAACGAGAGTAGGATTAGATCTAGTAAGCCAGAACTTGAAAGGTCCAAATCGGAAAATGGGGCTCTTATGAAATACCCACAAACTCAAAGATCTGATACAACAGAAAATGTTAAGGTAAAAACTCAGAGCGATTTCTCCACCAAAGAAACTGAAAGAGATGAAACACGCGTAGACCTTATTACAGAGGAAGTTAAAGTAGTATCACAAGAAGTAGTAGATTCTAACATCCTTGCAACAGAAGAAGCATCGGGAGAAGATTTATTAGAAGGCCAAACACCTTCTACAGACATTTTCAATGTAGATGTGTCCCTTCCTGACGATGTTTCATCGTGTCAGACCCAGCAGGTGGCTCCATCCCATCTGTCTACTAGTACAGCCGTCACTGCTGTTCTCCTTCAGATGCCACCACCCACAAGTCCACCAATAGAGTCGAAAAAGAAAGTTTTGGAAGCTGTCAACGAGGGAGTTCCCGCAGTACGAAACATCATTCAAAAATTTAATCAACGCATCACAGAAAATCAAGAACTACTTGGAAGTCCATTCCGATCCCCGCCAACTACCCCTCCCCCGTGGCAGTCTCCTCGTACGCAAAGGAGAATGTTAGCAGAATTAATGGCTCTTCACGCTAAGAAAGGAAACGACAACTCTCTGGGTAATATTACAATAACCCAGCCAGAATCGTCTCATTCCCTGAGTGTAAACCCTATTAGTGGTGTTCTGAAGTCTCTAAGTGCTTCGGTAATTGCCTCTAGTCCTGAACTCCCACAGCAGGTGCAGCGATCTGCAAGTGGTTCACTTGTTCAGAATAGCAAGTCTGGCACCAGTGATGTTCATGTGGACACCACTGGACTTCTTACCTCGCCACATATACCTAAACCCAAAGATCCAAGAACCGGTGATAAGCGAAGTGGTTCACCAGCTGCCAGCCCTGCCATAACGCCTGTTCCTACTGACCCTGACACTTCTTGTGACTTGGACTTATCATTGGACGACCCTGACCAGGTCTTGCATGACCGCACTACAGCAACACCTGAGAGCAGAAGCCCTGCGGCTCACATTCGTGCACTTAAAATTAAGAAAGCTAAGGAAGAATTTCTTGCACGTGGAGCTGCCCCATTAACAGCAGAACAAAGGTTCAGTGGATGTCATGACCAAATAAAGCTTAGACACCGAAGTGGCACTGCAAGCACAGAGGAAAGCTGGCGAGAATCTGATGAACTCTACGCAGGAGGACCATCACCTCTTCCTTCGCCCACTCCAACAGAAGTGAGTTGCCAGGATAGAGAAGAGACGCATGAAAAACCACCACGAGCCTCTTCTCGGCGGCGCAACATTCCAAAAAAGGATTCATTCCGAAGGCAGAGTGCTGGATGCCTGATGGAAGACTCAGCTTCACAAAAACTTGCGTCACAGGTTGTTAAATCTGCCTCATCCGGAGTCCTGGCAAGTGGAAAGAGACATTCACGGTATTCCATAGATTCGGAATCTCCGGATCGCAGAAAGACGTCATTCGAACCATGTGCTGAGCCAACCAAGTCATCATTAGGAATATTCAAGCTATTTAGACGTAATAAGAATAGAGATAAAAAAGATATGCCCTCTGTACAGAGGTTATGTCGACAGAGTTTGCTAGTAGATTTCGCCAACGGAAAAGGTCGTACACAGAGTGCTTCTCCTCAACCACGCTGTGACTCTTCTCTTCGTGCTTTACCAGAAGTTGAAGGTGAAGACGCCTCAGAAGCTGCACGCTCATCAAAGACTCTACCAAGAGGAAGCTCTGGAGAAGCAGCCCTTCCTGCTCCTTCCCGTTCGTGCCCTTCGTCTCCAGTGGCCCCTCATCGCTCCCGCACATCCAACTGGCTGGCCCGTGGCCGGCAGATTTTCAAAAGTCGCTCTCCCTCACCCGGCAAGAAGCCACGGTGACACGAAGCTCAAAATCTGCATCATATATTATTACTCATTAATTTGTAAGACTACTTTGTTGTACGAATCTGTTAATTGTCCCTGCAGTTCTGAAGTTTATATATGCACTGTAACAATAGCCATCCTGCATACTTGGACACAATATTCACCTCGTCAATATTCCTATTTCAGTTGTTGCAAGAGTAGGATAAATTCTGAAATTTATAGTTTCAATATGAATTTTGAGTGCATGACATTTGGAAAAGTAAAATTTGCATATGAAGAAATGCACATTTAATTTTTCATTATAACTGTGGCCTTGCTGTACCTTTTTTTTTCTTTGGTCTTTACCTTTATTGTAAAACGTCCAAAGCTCTTGCTAACACATGAGCTGCCTGTTAGCAGCTATCTTGAAACAGTATGTACTGAGCGGACCAATTGTGCCACTGTAGTCTGAAAAGACTTATTATTGTTCTAGTCAACAGAAGAAACCGTCCATATCTCTTATATCTTCGTTTGTATGAGGCAAATTGCGGTTGTAGAGTAGCTAGTAATATATACACAGCTCCAAAACAATCTGCAATTGTCATGCCTAATAAGCTAAAATAGTCAGACAAACTGAACTTGTCATATAAAAAAAATCGAAAAAAATATGCATTAATAGATACATTCACGTGAATTAACATTATATGCTGATTTTTATATTTTCACCAAAACAAACTGCAACCTAATCTAACCTTGCTAAAATTAACATAACATAATAAAGCTCCTGTCCAAGCTTTTCAAGGTCAGGCTAAATTTATTTAGTATTATTTAACATTGATGAAGCATTTCGTTATATTCCGATTAATTTTCTCGAAGATATTAACCAGTGAATTTGCACTTATTTAGGAAAATGATTCTTGCCGTAAAAAGCAAGTCGGTTTAAAAAGCACGACATGACGTTGGTACTAATATTTGTGGGGTTGTTAGTACCCACCTGGTTGTAAATTATTCTTTGCCATTTTTGGTCACATGGCCAGACGAGTGCCTTTGGTCTTTGTGCCAGTGTCTACTTGAAATTTTAGTAATAACGTTAAAATTTGTACATGAATATACTATATATATAGTTATTTTTTGTATAATACAATAAGAGTAATACAAGGATTATTCACTCATGTTTTTACATTTATAGGTGTTTCACTCTATAAATACAATCATGTGCATTTTACAGTGCACATAAAAAATTAGAAGAGCTTAAAGCATTACATACAGTCATAATTTCACATATATTTTACATATAACGTAAGTCAGTATTAATTTATATATGTATGTTTGTGTACTAATGATTACACAGCAAATTGCAGTGTTACAGGCTGAGTAAACTTGACCTGGAGACCATATTTTGTCCACCTTTTGTTTTAAGACTTTACAGGGCCATTAAGTCCACAGAAAAACATTATTCATAAAGTATACTTTAAATCCCGGTAGTTAAAACATTATTATTATTATTATTATTATTATTATTATTATTATTATTATTATTATTATGAGAAGCGCTAAATCCATATGGGCTGTACAGGGCCTGGGATGGGAAGGATAGTTCCAGTACTTGGATCAAGAGCCCTTCACCAGAATCAAAGCAAGCCCCCCCCCACCTTAAAGGGCACGTAGACCTCTACAACATATATATATAATATATATATTATTATATATATATATATATATATATATATATATATATATATATATATATATATATATATATATATATATATATATATATATATATATATAATATATAACACACACAAGGTGCATCATGGATATTTGTAAATAAAACAAATTTTTACAATCAGTTTTTAACTTCATATTCAATGTATTTTGTATTCCTCATTATTATAGTTATGAAAGGGAGCACAAAACCTGTACAATTAAAACATCGACTGAAGGGAAGGAAGATATGCAGGCTTGGTTCAAGAAAAGGGAGGGCAGCTCCAATTCCTTGGAACAAGAGCAACTTTGAAGGGTGTGAGCGAACGCATGAGGGGATAAATATATATATATATATATATATATATATATATATATAATATATATATATATATATATATATATATATATATATATATATATATATAATGTGTGTGTGTGTGTGTGTGTGTGTGTGTGTGTGTGTGTGTGTGTGTGTGTGTGTGTGTGTGTGTGTGTGTGTGTGTGTGTCGTGCGGAATAGGTAAAACTGGTCAATTAGGAAGAACTCATTTAAAATTAAGTCCTTTCTAAAATTTTCTCTTATACATTTAAAGATACATTTTTTTATTTATGTTAATATAAAAATTAATGATTTTGTACCATACGAACCTTAGGAAACTTACCTAACCTTATTATAACAAGCGCAGTTTAATTTAGCCTAATCCAACTAAATATATTTTAGATAAGCTTACAATAATTTAATAATAAACAAACACGATGAAATATTTTTTTTTTCGTTAGGTTGAGAATAATTTTTGCGAAATTATTGCATACACAAATTTTCGCTTACCTTATTCCGCAAGAAATGCGTTGCTATTTAAGCCAAAATCGCAAGTTTTACTTAGTCCACACACACACACACACACACACACACACACACACACACACACACACACACACACACACACACACACACACACACACACACACACACACACACACACACACACACACACACACACGGGGCCAGGAGCTAGGACTCGACCCCTGCAACCACAAATAGGTGAGTACACACACACACACACACACACACACACACACATGATAACGACATATAAAATTCTGCGTGGAATAGACAAGGTGGACAAAGACAGGATGTTCCAGGGAGGGGACACAGAAACAAGAGGCCACAATTGGAAGTTGAAGACACAAATGAGTCAGAGAGATATTAGGAAGTATTTCTTCAGTCATAGAGTTGTCAGGCAGTGGAATAGCCTAGAAAATGACGTAGTGGAGGCAGGAACCATACACAGTTTTAAGACGAGGTTTGATAAAGCTCATGGAGCGGGGAGAGAGAGGGCCCATTAGCAACAGGTGAAGAGGCGGGGCCAGGAGCTAAGACTCGACCCCTGCAACCACAAATAGGTGAGTACACACACACACACATACATATATATATTATATCAATGCACCACGCAGAAACAAGCGGAGAAGTCAGCAGGATTCGAGGCCACGTTAGGGGAGCCTGGCAAAGTCCCCCAAGTGACTAGACCACTCGGCCACAGATGCCTCAAAAGCTAGGCAGCCTGGTTTACAAGCCAAGTTTCTTCTTAGCCTAGTCACACTAGGCTACCTCGAGCATATCTGGAGGGTGTTCTGGGGTCAACGCCCCCGCAGTCCATGACCAGGCCTCTTGGTGGATCAAGGCCTGTTCAATCAGGCTGTTACTGTTGACCGAATGCAAACCGACGTACGAACCACCCGGTTAGCCAGGTACCGACTTTAGGTGCCTGTCCATCTCCCTCTTGACGAGGGACACAATTGAACAGTCTTGGGCCCCTGACACTGTGTTGTCTCTTGCTGTACTCCTGGCGACCCTGCTTTTCACTGGGGGATGTTACACCGTTTGCTGGTCTTTTGCTTTCATAGGGAGTGATTTCCGTGTGCAGATATGGGACGAGTCCCTCTTAAGATTTTCCAAGTGTATATTATCGTGTATCTTTATTGCCTGCATTCCAAGGAGTATAGGTCATCTGTTGAGGACACGGTTAACCTCCAAGAAGATATAAACCAAGTTTTCCAATGGACAACGGAAAACAATATAATGTTCAATGAGGACAAATTCCAACTACTATGTTATGGAAAACTGGAGAAGATAATAACTAGAACAGAGTATACTACAAACTCTGGCCGTACAATAGAGCAGCAAAATAATGTAAGGGACCTGGGAGTAGTAATGTCTGAGGATCTCACTTTTAAGGATCACAACAGTGCCATGATCACAAGTGCAAAGAAAATGATAGGATGGATAATGAGAACGTTCAAAACGAGAGATGCCAAGCCATGTTGATCCTTTTCAAATCACTTGTTCTCTCTAGGCTGGAATACTGCTGTACATCAACATCTCCGTTCAAAGCAGGTGAAATTGCAGATCTAGAGAGTGTACAGAGATCCTTTACTGCACGTATAAGTTCTGTCAAGCACCTCAACTACTGGGAACGCTTGGAAGCACTTGACTTGTACTCGTTGGAACCCAGGAGGGAGAGATATATCATAATCTACACTTGGAAAATCCTAGAAGGAATGGTCCCGAATCTGCACACAGAAATCACTCCTTACGAAAGTAAAAGACTGGGCAGGCGATGCAAAATACCCCCAATTAAAAGTAGGGGCGCCATTGGTACACTAAGAGAAAACACTATAAGTGTCCGGGGCCCAAGACTGTTCAACAGCCTCCCACCAAAGATAAGGGGAATTACCAATAGGCCCCTGGCTACCTTCAAGAGAGAGCTGGACAGATACCTAAAGTCAGTGCCGGATCAGCCGGGCTGTGGTTCGTACGTTGGACTATGTGCGGCCAGCAGTAACAGCCTGGTCAATCAGGCCCTGATCCACCGGGAGGTCTAGTCGTGGACCGGGCCGCGGGGGTGTTGATCCCCGGAATAACCTCCAGGTAGGTCAAGGGACTTCAACCGTTCCCAGTAATTTAGGTGTTTTATTGTGCTTTTACATGCAGTGAAAGTTTCTGTATCTTCTCCAGGTCGGCAGTTTCGCCTCTTTGAAAGGGGCTGTTACTGTACGACAATATTCCAGCCTGTAGAGAACAAGCGATTTGAAGAGAATCGTCATTGGCTAGGCATCCTAGTTTTGAAGGTTCTCATAATCCATCTTATCATTTTCCTAGCACTGTTGTGGTCTTGGAAAGTGAGGTTCTGACATTATCACTCCCAGGTCCTTCACATTAGTTTTTCGCTCTTTTGTGTGGTTAGAATTTATTTTATACTCCGATGCAGTTATTTCCTCGAGTTTTCCATAGCGGAGTAATTGAAAATTGTCTTACTGACCTTCACATTGTTTTCTGAGGCCCACTTAAAGAGCTTTTCACTGTACCTGCCTCCGACTTTATTCTGTTTACTATTACTCTTCGTGTTCTGTTAGATAATTAGGAAGTTGTACATCCACCTACCCACTTTTCTTGTTATTCCTTTATCATGCATTTTGTGTGGTATTATGCCATGATCCCACTAGTCGAAAGCTTGCGCAGTCTGTGTATACTACATCTGCATTTTGTTTGTCCCTCAGTTCATCCTGCAGTGCTGCATGACCTTAGTGGGTTTAGCGCTTCTTTGTTATAGTAATCCAGTTCACCCAGGACCAATTCATAGCTGTGAGAGGCAGGAACGACCTACTCTAAACCCATGACCCCTCAAGGGAGGTTCCTTGACGCTGGTGAGGGCTCTTGATCTAGGAAATTGGATCTGTGCTCCAGTTCCCTGAATTAAGCCTGAATACCTTCCATTCCCCCCCACAGGCGCTGTACAATCCTACGGGTATAGCGCTTCCTCATGATTATAATAATAATTATCTAAACCTATGCTGCCCTGGGTTGTGTAATTGCTGGGTATCCAAGTGGTTGGCGATCTTGCTTCTTAGAACCTTTTCAAAAAGATTTTATGATGATGTGGAACGTTAGTGCTATTGGTTTGCAACTGCGTTACTGCCACCTTTGTGGAGTGGGGCTATATTTGTTGTTTTTAGTGACTGTGGGCTTAACCCTGTCTATATTCCTTCTTCATAGAATATTTAAGGCACGTGAAAGAGGTTTCTTGCAGTTCCTGATGAACACGGAGTTCCACGAGTCTGGGCCTGGGGCAGAATGCATGGGCATGTCATTTATTGCTTTTTTTTAAATTAAGATTACAGTTATATATATATATATATATATATATATATATATTATATATATATATATATATATATATATACGTATATTATTGTGCCCACGTACGAGTGGTATTGATCAATACCAACACTGCGACTAGCCAAGGACTCGAACCCATGTTGCTTTGGCTTGCCTCATGGTGGGCAAAAACTCATGACGTCTTAATCCACTGGACCATACAATCCATCATCTGGTGGCGGTGATTTAACCTGCCATAGATACTTGTAACCAGACCAAACGAAATGTAAACTTTGCCAGATAGACTATTGTCACACCTTGCGTCATTATGTACTGGAGTGCGATCAGATTAATGAATTTAGAGACAACTCACTCAGAAATGTTCAAGAAATGGCAAAGTATTTTATCCACAGTGGTATATTACAGACCATTCTGGAAAATACCCTGACTTTGCTAGCTGTAAATAAAGCATTACCACGTGTGTGTGTGTGTGTGTGTGTGTGTGTGTGTGTGTGTGTGTGTGTGTGTGTGTGTGTGTGTGTGTGTGTGTGTGTGTATGTGTGTGGTGTGTGTACTCACCTATTTGTACTCACCTATTTGTGGTTGCAGGGGTCGAGTCCTAGCTCCTGGCCCCGCCTCTTCACCGGTTGCTACTAGACCCTCTCTCTCCCCGCTCCATGAGCTTTATCAAACCTCGTCTTAAAACTGTGTATGGTTCCTGCCTCCACTACGTCATTTTCTAGGCTATTCCACTGCCTTACTACTCTATGACTGAAGAAATACTTCCTACTATCTCT